TTCGGAATAGGATCCTCTGGAATGGAGTATGCTTTGGATCGACCAGATTTGGACAATACATTTCGTAATGTCCCGCACTAAAACGAATTGGAAATATCACCACTTCAAGGTCTGAATGGTCAAATCAGACTGTAAGATTGGACCGGCATGAAGAACATCGTTCAAGCTTCTCCCATTTGCTGAAGGGCTGGAAGCATTGAATACCACTCGTAGCTTCGTGGTGGTGCTGTCGGGTTTAATTACAGCGTGATGTGGAGGTATTAGTTTAGAGAATATTGAGTCAAAGGAACCTTAATTATGTGACCTAGTTCCAAAAAATCCGGCACATTGTACTGCTTTTTTAAAGGACAGTCTCTGTTTAAGCGATTCTCATTTCTCAGAAACTGAGCCAAAGCAATGAATCTTGAATACCCTATATTTGATCCGCAAAGGACTGGGTCGCGAAAAGGCAACGTTACCACGTATTTTCCGTATGCGTTTTTGGCAGTGATTCGGCGAAAATTGCTTTCGCGATAGGAATCCGACTCTTTTACCATTTTTATTGGTATATTCTCCACCTCCAAAAACTTTGTGAGAAGTTTGTCTAAGGACTCCTCAGAAGTTTCTCGAATTTGCGCTGTAAAAACTGCCACCCGATTGGTTATGGTTACATATGTTATTTCGTGGCAACACGGATGGCAAAATATCAGCTCCGATCAAAACGTATATCTGGGAACTTTGGAAAACGTAGGATCTATCAATGGAAGGTTGTGCACAGCGCTTAGGGCGCCTTGTGGAACCGGATAAGACGGCAGTTTTCCTGCCAATTCCGGTACCACGTAAGCTGCTGTATCTAACTACAGGCCCGGCTTCGTAGATGATCGAATTCTAAAATGGCATAGCCGAGTCGACTGAGCTGCCAATGTCGTATTTAAGCCCGAGATTTGGGCTTGGATGATGCGGAATGGGAGTGTAATTATATTGAAAAGGCGTTCCATAATGAGTGTAGCCTCGGAGCCTGAGTCGATCAGCGCTCGAGCTCGAAAGTTCGTTCCCATGTGACATATATTAGTTTTTGACGTACCTAATAGAAACTAGCGGAGTTTTTAGATAGGTAACTTCCCACTGGTGTGGCGCAATGTTGTGGGCTTAGTGCCGTGGCCGACGCCAAATTTTACCCATTTGGATTAGATTTGCCCCGATGAAGTAGCGTGTGGTGCTTACCTCGGCAAACAGCTGTATGTACTGGTACCTTCCCCACTGGGAAAGCTTACTCACACATAGTGGGTATTACAAAGGTTTAATAAATATCGTAAGTACAATCGTTTATATACATGTTTCTCTTGACAGATTTATCCTTCCTCAGCCCTTAAGACCGAAACCTGGCCGCCGTCTCGGATATTTACGCGGTCAAAGCAGAGAATTCGTTTTGCTGAAAAAGGGTACAGGCGCCGCGGAAACTATGCTCTACCAGCCATGTATTGGTAGAGCTCGCATGGAAACGCGGCCCTCAAAGGAACATGCGCGATGCGCGTGTGTATGGTCACCTAATCCTGAGGAGCTCCAGGGGAAAAGAAGGGACAGGCCAAAAAGGTACGTAACTGCACTGTAAGCTATACCATTTAACTAATGCTCGCGACCTTTTTAGTTTTAGGCAAACAACGAGGACAAATAAGGCTCTCGGGTCTAACTCCGGATAAACTCACAAACAGGTAAGTAGATATCAATATATACATTCGAGGTACAGGTGTATTTAATTTCCCGAAAGTTTCAGCCACCGTCGGGCCGGGCCTGGAGGCGATGATAGCCCGGGCTGATGACTTTCCGCCGGAGGCCAGCAGCGATACGGATCTCCACACGGGAAAACGGCGCTCTCCGGTGAGTGGTGCACGGGCAGTCCGAGATTCGGCTGCCAGACAAAATGGCGATACTTCTCATCGCCGCAATGCGACCGCTGGAAGTTCCCGAGAGGAGGAGGACGCGGTACGCCGGAACGGACTCACCGGGAAATGTTGACGTCGTCGGCGTCGATTGCGGAAGACTTTCCTGGCTGGTCGCTGGCACGGGTCGAACGTCCGTTCCGGTTGCTGGGCAGCCAAGTCGGGCTGGTAGGTATGGCGAAGTATGGCGATGTCAGTAGAGTCCAAATAAATTCTTCCGGGGCCCTTTGTATTGGGACCCCGGCTGCCTTTATAAATGATAAAAGAAAAATTTATACTCTCACTCCTAGCTGCATCTGCCTTGATTGTTGGACAGTATGGCCGCGACTATCACGATATCTGCTGATCATCGCCCCCGCCATATTACATGGCCTCTCTCAGCATTGGGTCATTGGATACATGGGCCATTTGAAGTAATCCCAGAGCGAACCGGGATTAATCTTCAAATGGCCAGATCGCCCGCCAGACTCATCCCGCTGCTGCAGCTATCGCCCTATCGACCTAATCTATCGATAACGTCGCTCCCACTCGACTGCAATTGCAACATCAACCAAAGATTTCGAGGGGCGCTGCCCGGAGTTTCAGCAGAACGATGAAATAATTGGTAGCTTTGGAGATACGATGGGATTCAACACGGCACTGATACCATCCTGCAGTTCGATCGGCGCCTAACGCGGGGCCCACGCATGACGGGAAGTATTGCAGATGTGATCGCGATGCTCGTATACTTTGTTTTGTCCTTCTTTCAGGTCACAACCGGATGTCTTTGGCATGATATACTCCCAGACTGCGGCCTTGGAGGTCCTCCAGCAAGTATGCATTGCTGCCGACGGATTTGACCACCCTGGCTTTAAGGAACTTGCGAGCAAATTGGCGTTGAAAGATTTGCTGAAATCACTAAGCACGAAGTTGCGGCGGAAGACTTCTTGTCCTGGCTTGGCGAGCAGCGTACGGGCTCGCTTATCGTAGCGCTGCCGGCTCGTCTGGTATGCACCCTCCAGTTGCTTCTGCACCTTGGCGTGGATAACCCGAACCTTGGTCTGCATTCCGGCCATTTCATGGTCGACCAGAGACCTGAGTCGTCTGGCTAGTTTGTAGCTGGAACCGTTGAGGAACATGTGATGGCCGAATACAGTGAAGAATGGCGCTTCCCCTGTGGCTGAGTGGACAGTGTTTCGGATGGCCACCACAATATCCGGCAAATGTGCATCCCATTCCCGGTGATCTTCGTCCAAGAAGCTGCGAATTGCGGCCAAGGCATTCCGGTTTACCCTCTCCGCGGCATTGCTCTGTGGTGAGTATACGGGAGTCCTCATGTGCTGTATACCGAAGCCATCGATCATCTCCTCAAACGCCTTGGATACGAACTGTTTGCCGTTGTCCGAATGTATCGTCTCAGGCACCCCGAACTTGTAAAATACCTCGTTTACCAGGAAATTTACAACGTTCGACGCCGTCGCCTCCTTCATCGCCTTTAAGAAGGTGTACTTCGAGAAGTGGTCCACCACGACAAATATCCAGGCGTGTCCACTCTTGGACCTCGGATACTTGCCCAGGAAATCGATGTACAGTTTCTGGAATGGCCTCTCCGTCTCTACCCTTCTTCCGATTCCGACCTGCATCCGGAAGTTCGGCGCCTTGGATTCCTTGCACACCTCGCAACTCCGGACGTATTCCCGTACCTGGACGGTCATCCCTGGCCAATAGAACTGGCGTCGCAGGATCTCCAAGGTCTACGTCATCCCACCATGGCCAGCCTTGGGGTCCGAATGAGCACGCTCTATCAAGATGTGCGTCAGGCTTTGCGGGATCCACAGCTTCCAGTCGGATCCTTCCAATTCCTCGTCCATTTTGGGGTTACTCATGCGCTTGAAGATGAGTCCGCCGTCCACCTTGAGGTGCGGTAAGTGCTCCCTGTTGGACTCCACGTCTTGCTCTAACTCCGTATAATCCTCCGCAGCAAATTCGGTCGTCTCGAATCCCAGTAACTCCGTTGGATCTATCCGGACTTCCTCTATGATGCGGGACAGAGTGTCGGCGACTACGTTCTCGCTGCCTTTACGATGTTCAATGCTGAAATCGTAGCCCTGCAGCTGAAAGGCATCCCTTCCACATACGGTCTGAACTTCCGAATAGCTAGGATGGCCGCCAGACATTCCTTTTCCGTGACCGAGTAGTTAACCTGGTGTTTGTTCATCTTGGCCGAGAAGAACGCGATGGGCTGCTCGTCTCCGTCCTGGTTCCGCTGAAACAATACCGCGCCGACGCCAACGTGGGATGCGTCGCACTGGATGAAGAAATGCTTCTTGAAATCCGCATGAACCAGGACCGGCGCGCTCGTCAAGGCCAACTTCAGGTCATCCACTGCCTGGGTAGCGCTGGGACTTAAGGAAAACTTTGTGTTTCCAACCTTCTTCAAGGACTCGGAGAGTGGTGCGGCTAGCGTAGCGAAGTTCTTGACGAACCGTCGATACCATCCCGCTGTTCCGAGGAAGGCACGTACTTCCTTCATGGATTTCGGGTAAGGCATCTTCTGGATTGCCGTAACACGTCCAGGATCCATCCGCAGCAGTCCACCTCCGACTATAAACCCTAGGTAAGTCAAAGATTTGAAGCAAAACTTCGACTTCTTTAACCCTATGGTCAATCCGGCTGATTTCAGACTGTGGGCTACCCGACGCAAGTATTTCAGGTGCGTCTGAAAATCTGGAGCCAGGATTAGCAGGTCGTCCAAGTAGACGAAGACGTTGGATCTGAGCTCCGCTGGTATCACCCGATCCATGAGTCGCACCAAGCGTTGTGCCGCGTTGCACAGTCCGAACGGCATCATTCGGAACTGGTACAACGGCCTGCCTGGAACAGTGAACGCAGTGTACTCCTTGCTTTTCTCATCCAGTTCGATCTGCCAAAACGCAAACTTCAGGTCAACGCTGGAGATGTAATGCGTCTGATCTATTCTGGAGAGGATTCCTTCTATACTGGGCAGAGGGTATGCATCCTTGATAGTCAAGGCGTTCAACTTCCGGGCATCCAGGCAGAACCGGTCTTTCCCTGGCTTCGACACCACTGTTGTTCCGGGCTTTTGCTCTCCTCGATGACACCCAGCTCCAACATCTTGTCGATCTCGTCTTCGACCACCTTCTGCTTCGCCGGAGACATCGGATACGGACGATCCTTAAATACCCGAGCTCCTTCCATCAGTTCAATGGAATGCCTCTCCATGCTGGTGACTCCGAGGCCGTCCCTTTCAAAGGTAAGGAACTCCTCCTTGACCTTGCCTAACGCCAGCATTTCCTCCGCAGAAAGGCTCCAGGATTCGGGTTCCTCCCTTACCTGGTCCTCATCTTCCTGATCGGCATAGTGCTCCATCTGGCTGGCATGGATTTCCTCCGCTGCCTTGGCGCGTCTCGTCGCCGGCTTCCCCACGACGGCTGGAGCTAGTCCGAAGGCTCGCCAGAAGTCGACTCCGAAGTACGCCGTTTGTTCCAGGTATGGGCACAGGTAGAACGTGACCGGCTTACTTACGCCTTTGTACCTCACAGGCAGCTCCAAGCGTCCGATGATGGATCGATCTTCGCCAGAAGCCGTACGGACTACCGAAAAATGCGGTTGGACGGTAACTCCCAGCGCTTCCACGAGCTCTCGACAGCCTTTGCCCAGCACACTTACGCTGGCGCCTGTATCCAACAAGCCGGTGAGCTGCTTGCCCAAGGTCTCCACGTCGGCGAAGGGTCGAGGATCAGCGGAATCAATGCGCTTAACGGCCGCCACCACCTCTCGTCGTCTGGATCTCCTCATCCTGAAGCGCTCCCTTGCCTTCTGGACTCTCCGTGAGACTAGACGCATGCCGCTCAGCTGATGCTCCGCAAAGATCCGGTTCCGTGCCTCCATATAACGGCGAAGCCTCTCATCCTCCGGTAGGTATCTTAATAAATACTTATTACTATTAGATGGACTATGTACTTTCTTTTCTTCTTCTTCTTTCTTCGGAACTACTTCGCGGGATTCCAACCTGGGCGAGTCCCTCCCGCTTTCGGACTGCCCAGCCGACCGTTTTCCGCGCAATCGGGACATTTTGGAGAAATCACGCCCAGCTTGCCGCACCGGAAACAAAATCTCCTCCACTCCGTGGCCTCGCAATCTTGGAATTCGTGCTCCGCAGCCCCGCAATTCCAGCAACCTGGCCTAAATAGATTTCGGACTCGCCTCGCCCACGTAGCTCGTCCCACCTTCACCAACTGCCCGCCTCTGGCATTGGTTTTTTTCAGGCGTGAGGGCGAGTTGCTGAATCGAATGGATGTAGTCATCCGCGCTCTCTCCCGGCTGTTGCTCACGTTGAAGAAGCTCGTGCATCCTTTCGTGTTCCGTCTGGTGGCCACGGAACCGATCCATCAGAGCCCTGCGCAGCTGGGCCCAAGTGTCCACTCTGGACTGGCGTACATGTACCCAGTACCACTCCTTCGCTCTGCCCGATAAGAGTACGTGGAAGTTGCGCAGAACTTCACACCACGGACATTGATGCTGCCGCTGCAGGAACTCCAGACGGAACACGAAGTCGTCCACGGAATGGCCATCGTCCTCGCCGCCGAATGAGAGGTTCCAGCGGTCCACTCGGATGAAGCGGTTTCCGTTGCCGGCTCCCGCGTTGGCGTATAACCGCGGCTCGTCCCGAAAATCCGCCGTCCTTCGGTCCTCAATGCGCCATGGCCGTGCGTGGCGATCGCTCCTGCCTGCCGGATGATACTCCGGTTCCTGGCTCAGGCTGCTGTCGATCCCTGGCGAGTCATTTACCGGCAGTCGAGGTCGCTGCCTGGGCGGCAATTCCGGCGGCCTTCGGTCGCATCCTCCTGTATCCTGCCGCTGCTGAATCCCCGCTGGGCCATTTGCGCCGCCTTCTGGACACGACGGGGTGGGCACCATCGACACTTGGCGACTCGCGCCCTCCTGAAGCGGCTGCGGTTTGCTCTCGGCTGGCCTCAGGACGTCGTTCAACAACTTCATCATGTCGATGAATCCGTTCCTGATTTCTTCCCGCAACGCCTGGCTTACTCCTACCTCCTGTGACGCGCGATAGGTTTGGGCAGCCTGTGCCAGAGCTGCGTTCATCGCCGACTCCGCCGCTGTATCCCGTTCCGTGTTCAGCTTTTGTGGTGCCGTCTGCTCCGGAACCAGAAGTCGATCCTGCGCCTCGACGATAGCTTTGAAACCCAGGACCCTGGGCGACCGATGGGGCTCCAGATCCGCCGGTTGATCCCGAATCCAAATCACCGCACTACCGCCTACCGGCGTTCTGGGTAACCCCTCAGCCAGCGATATCCGCGGCAACCCAGCAGCACCCTCTACATCCGTGGACCAGACATCGTCTCTGTCGTCGCCAGGAGGACCCATCGACCTAAGCTAGTGACCGTGCCTATCCCTGACGTCCTTACCCTCGGACATACTTCCCAAGAAATTTTGAATAAATACTTAATAGCTACTAATACGATAATAAATGTGATAAATAAATAAATAATTAAGACAACAAATAAATACAATAATAAATAATATAATAAATATCAAAATAAATACGAAAATAACTAATAGCAAAAATAAATAACAATAAACAAATCTTCCTCACTTTCCAACACCTTTCAAAATCTCCTATTTTTTCGTATTATTTTTTTCTTCCTACTACTCTTGACGTGGGGAGATGGAACTGACCCTCGCCGGTGGGCTTCCGACCTACTTGTCTTGCGCTTTCTCCAAAAATCCTATTTCCCGTCTCCGCCTAGCCGATCGTCAACTGGACTAGCTATCACCCGTGGTGATAGCCGCCAGTTAAGGACATCGGCTCGGTTTGGCTCCTGTTGGCTTTTCTTTCCCGCCCTCTTTTTTTATTTTAAATCGAGGTAACCGTCCAGCGCGTAGGGTTGCTACGGGTCACGATTACGCAATTAAGTTCACAACCGATATAAAATTAGAAGTCCAGGACGGGGAGAAAAACCCAGGAACACCACATCCTAACAAAAAAACATTTCAAATAAATAAATAACAACATACAAGCCTTAAAACTACTCTATCACAGAAATTATCACAGATTCTCTTCAGTGCATCCCGTGATGCAAATCTTGGTTTGCCCCAAGATGCCATCACCGGTTCACTGGTAAACCTGTGACCAGGAGCAAATCGTCGGCAATGTCGACGTGCCTCCCGTTCTACTTCCAACTTCCCTACTCAGCTGACTTCCCCGTCACCACTCCCTAGCAATTGCAATCTATGCCATAGGTCGTGATGGCGGGGGCGTCAGGGTTACGAACTGCTTTTTTCGGTGGCAGTGCCGCTAGCTCAGTCGTTCCTCAGGGCAGAGTACCTTTAATGCCACAGCTCGCAAAATAAAAATCGATACTTCACGGTCTCACATTACTAAATTATCGGACATCACTAATGACAAAAAAACGTAAACAAAGCAAAAATCTACAAATATTGACGGAAAAATGGATTACATTTGGTGGCTATCGATGTCCTAGCCAAGCGCTCCCACCCATCCATGGATGCCCTCAAGATGCTGCAGGGCACCACCCATTCGCTGTCGGCAGGAGCCCCCTCCTCGCGACTACGGCTACGGTTCCATCTCCCCCACTGGGAAAGCTTACTGACACATAGTGGGTATTACAAAGGTTTAATAAATATCGTAAGTACAATCGTTTATATACATGTTTCTCTTGACAGATTTATCCTTCCTCAGCCTTTAAGACCGATACCTGGCCGCCGTCTCGGATATTTACGCGGTCAAAGCAGAGGATTCGTTTTGCTGGAAAAGGGTACAGGCGCCGCGGAAACTATGCTCTACCAGCCATGTATTGGTAGAGCTCGCATGGAAACGCGGCCCTCAAAGGAACATGCGCGATGCGCGTGTGTATGGTCACCTAATCCTGAGGAGCTCCAGGGGAAAAGAATGGACAGGCCATATATACCATTTAACTAATGCTTGCGACCTTTTTAGTTTTAGGCAAACAAAGAGGACAAATAAGGCTCTCGGGTCTAACTCCGGATAAACTCACAAACAGGTAAGTAAATATCAATATATACATTCGAGGTACACGTGTTTTTAATTTCCCGAAAGTTTCAGCCACCGTCGGGCCGGGCCTGGAGGCGATGATAGCCCGGGCTGATGACTTTCCGCCGGAGGCCAGCAGCGATACGGATCTCCACACGGGAAAACGGCGCTCTCCGGTGAGTGGTGCACGGGCAGTCCGAGATTCGGCTGCCAGACAAAATGGCGATACTTCTCATCGCCGCAATGCGACCGCTGGAAGTTCCCGAGAGGAGGAGGACGCGGTACGCCGGAACGGACTCACCGGGAAATGTTGACGTCGTCGGCGTCGATTGCGGAAGACTTTCCTGGCTGGTCGCTGGCACGGGTCGAACGTCCGTTCCGGTTGCTGGGCAGCCAAGTCGGGCTGGTAGGTATGGCGAAGTATGGCGATGTCAGTAGAGTCCAAATAAATTCTTCCGGGGCCCTTTGTATTGGGACCCCGGCTGCCTTTATAAATGATAAATATTAAATACCGAACTACTATAGAAATCTAAAATAACTCACTATTAAATTCAAAGCACAAAGAAAATTTATACTCTCACTCCTAGCTGCATCTGCCTTGATTGTTGGACAGTATGGCCGCGACTATCACGATATCTGCTGATCATCGCCCCCGCCATATTACATGGCCTCTCTCAGCATTGGGTCATTGGATACATGGGCCATTTGAAGTAATCCCAGAGCGAACCGGGATTAATCTTCAAATGGCCAGATCGCCCGCCAGACTCATCCCGCTGCTGCAGCTATCGCCCTATCGACCTAACCTATCGATAACGTCGCTCCCACTCGACTCCAATTGCAACAAACTAAAACTCTGCCTTATATCCTCAATAGTTTCTAATGTCCTATACCTATCGCTAAGAAACGCGTTAATTTCATCCCACTTAGGAATATCGGACTTGGATGTAAGGGATTGTTCCCACAAGGAAAGGTTCAGCCTTGGCAACTTACTGGCGCACAGGTATACCAGCACGCAATCCCAATTTTCTGGGGATATTTTGAAATAGGCTAATGCTGCTAGGCATCCTTGGATGGTGCTCTTTAGCTCTTTTATGGCGCTGCCAGTTTCAGCATTGACGGAACTCAAGTTTAATAGAAGCTTGAGTTGGCTATTCACTAAGAGTCTTTTGTTTTCGAAACGCATTCGAAGCGACTCCCAAGCAGAAGCGAACACATTATTGGTCAGCGGGGACTTAGCAACGATTGCTTTGCCTCACCGGTCGTCTTAGCGTTGAGATGGAATAACTTCTCGACCGGCGTCAACCCTGTGTTGTTGATATACACAGCAGTAAAAAGGTCTCAGAATGTTGGCCATTTGAGATAGTCTCCCTCGAATACTTCTGTATCAAAGGGAGAAAAACGGCTGCCTGACGGAATGTAAGTGGGCGGATTATTTGTGATGGCTATTGCCTGCGGCCGTAATATTGGCAATAGTTCTAGACAAGCTTCAAATTCCTTTACGCCTTTGTCCCAGAGCGAGCGAACTTGTCCTTTACGGACTTGGCAGGTGTGGACAGACGGAAATGACGGCCTGGAGATTCAATCGTTGCTTTGGAATGGCTCATACGATGGAATACGGTAATGAACGTAGCTAGGGCTGCAATTGCAATTTTTTTACTAATGATAGACTTTACGGACGTTTTGGTCTGGACTTGCGGCCTAACTTTCGGTGTCAGCAGATTCAAGACGATCGTTTCTGATTGGTTGTTGGATGTCTAACGAAGTTATCGTAATCGATTTGTGGGCAATTGAACAAGTTGTAGGCGCGCGGGGAGATGCAGAAAGTAATCTCGTTGTATTTCCGAAAACTTTTTATTGTCTCCTCCTGGCATTTTAGAAATCAGAGTAACTGGGCAACCGCTATTGTTTCTGTATGATTAATAAGGCCCGAAAAAGTCTGTGCCTGGAATGTGGTTACAGTATCGCGGATCACAGGATTGGATTCCGATGAAAAAACGAAAAAACCGCAGATAACTTAACGATAACCCCGATTCTTAATACCGGAATGTAAATAATGTAAATATCGTGTGGAGCGAAGCGAAAAATCGTCTGGAATTAATTTAATTTAATTTTGAAAAACCAAAAAAATGTACGGTGTAGCAGTGTTTGTTAATGGGGATTCCTCGTTATATTACAAGCCGTCCGCTTGTGTTTACTCTTAGCGGTACGGCTTAGGTCTAAATGGAACAGTAATACAAATTTAATAGTTCAGGAAAACTACTTTGATGTACGTTTTCGGAAAAGTAATCTAGGAAATATCCCAAGTTGGTTGCTGAGCTGTGGAAATAAGTGCTAGGAATAATTGGAAAATATATGTATATATTTATCGCACCGTCACTGCTTGCACAGAAAAAAAATGTATTTATTTATTTTATTCAAATGCAAATCATGCATATGTTGGAAAGGCGTATCGGAGGAGATGTATTCGATGAAATCAGGTTATAATCAGATATTTTTGACAAAAATATTTATTTAAAATTTTACAACTCCAGTTGTTCAGTGGAAATAGGTTATAAATAGAAGTCAGCCGTTAATTGCCCTGCAGTACCATTCAGCGCTTATTGAGCACTCAATCACTGCAAAAAGCTCATCACTGAGCGCTCAATGAGCGCACAATTTGTATGGAACTAAGTGCTTAAATTAACATAGGCATGTCCTAGGGTTCATCAGTGCTCATAAAATAGCACGCATTGAGCGCTTTTTTGAGCACCCTTTTGAGCGCTTTTTTGAGCAGCAGAAAAAGCACACGTTCAGCACATGTTGAGCGCTCGATTAATCAGCGGAAAAAGCACACATTCAGCACATGTTGAGCGCTCATTCAAGCAGCGAAAAAGCGCACATTCAGCACACGTTGAGCGCTCATTCAAGCAGCGAAAAAGCGCACATTCAGCACACTTTGAGCGCTTAGCAGCAAATAAAATTTCAGTTGTAATTTTTATTTTTATTTGTTTATTTTAAAATTTGAGCTCGGGGGTTTCCAGTGTTATCGGGGTCGCTGGCACCTCCTTCTCAGCATCTGGTGCCGGCGTTGCCTTTTTTTTGGTACAACTCAAGTTTTTAACGCACCGCATTGCCTTCAGCAGCGCCTTTTCGGGAGGCTCCGAGGGATCCACCAGGGCGATTGCATCTAGTATTAGAAAAAATTAGTTTTCAAAATAAAACAAGACGAGAATAAAAACGAGTGACCGAAAGTAATCGTTATTTGTAAGATTTATTTATAATAAAAGAAATGTTATGTTTGGCATTCAATGTAAAAATCCCTCATAAGTTATAAAAACAAACATCTCTTATTTTTGGTCCCTAGGAACTTAGCACTCAATAAGATTTTCAAATTTTTTCACAGATTCATTCATTTGTTTATTTATATGCATCGTTTGTTGTTTTTCACGTCAAAAATTAATATTTTTCACAGCTATTTTTTTTGCGCCACGTGTTTTTTTGTTAGTCTTCTATTTTCCATTTTTTCAATATACTTTAACTTGTTTTTACTCCCACTGATTAAATAAATATTGGTCTGCGACAGATTTACCTGGGAATCGTATAGGTATCACTTTTAAACCACTGGTTTTTTTTATTTAACTACCTTAATTGCGTGCAATTCTAACTCCTTCACATAAGTAAACCCAAGTGAAAAAGACGAAAAAAGTCGCGTGCCTTCCAGAAAAACAACAAGCAACAACAACAACGGTTCCGCTAATCCGTTGTTGTTCTGTTTTTTTGGCATGTCCCGTTTGGTCTATGCATCTTGCACATAAAAGCAGCGTATTTATAGACATATCCGACTATGCAAATCGGTTTATAAAAATATATTCTTAAAACTTCACATAATATTAAATAATATTAATAAGCCTATACATTTTTTTAAGAAATACAAATATTTTAAAACAGAAACCTATTATTTTAAATGGTTGTTTTATCATTTACGAACAAATGTCGCATTATTCAAAAGGCAAGGGTGCACAAAAGTCTATATATTTTAGTTGCTGGGCCTCCTTCCCATCACACGCACTTTTCCGTCTGAGACATGGCGAGAGAGGGAGAGCCCAAAATTACTTTTTGTGCGTTCTCTTTGCGGACCCGACTGAGAGCGCGTCGCTTTGCCGCCGTTGCGCTCAGCTCGCCGGCGTCGCTGGCTTCTGTGCCGACGTCGCAGTCGGCTTCGTGATGATTGGGCGCTTAACTCAATTGTGGAACTGCAGGGCAGTCTTAGGGGCACATATGATGTAACAAACATAATGCTGTCTGCTAGGTCGGTATCCATCATCGTCTGTTTATATTCTGCATGCCCAGTACTACCATCGAATCCCCATTTGCCGAATAAAATCAAATGATCATCATTGACACTGTTGATAACCTCATTTTGAAGTTCCAATATGCGTGTCGCAGTGTGATTCAATAAACTTTGAAGTTCAACTTCTGCTTGAGATTCGCTGATAATAATATTATCCAGATAGCTTTTTTGTTTAGCAGACAGCATTTTATCATAGCTGGGCAACATTTCATATGATAATTTTGAGTTAATAAATGACCGTATCATTAAATACTGGTGTTTGGTTAACTGACATTCCATGAAAAGAGCTAAAACTTCTTCATTTCTTGGTTCGGAAATTGATTTATTCCCTTGCAAATCAGATATCCGTAAAAGGGATGCAGCAGACTCATTTCTAATCGCAACCTCTGCTATGCGTCGGCGTTTCGTCCTATTCGAAATGTCTGCAAAATCCTTTTTTGGCCGTCCACGACTATTATTAGTTGCTTTTAGTGGCAAGGAGTATCTTATAATTATAGTTTCCTTGCACTCCAGCCAATCAGAATTTTTGTTAAGAAATCTCTCTTTATTCCAATTAGCAATCTGCCAAAACGATGCCAGCTATTTACAAATATAGCTTATTTGTGTTTGGAATTCCTCCAAATTCGGCTCAT